GTCCGCCCGCTTTCTTTTTGTAATGTAAGAGAAGATATATATTTTATTAATCTTGAAATATTTTTTATTTTGCTGTTGTCAATAATTTCATCTGAATTATAATGAATAAAATTTCTATTAAATTAAAGGGACTTATATAGTCATCCAATAACTTTTTTTTGTTATGTATTTTTCTTTATTATATTATCCATTATTTAATATAATTGCATTTGTTAATAGAATTCTTTTTTTTTTGAACATAAGGACATAATATTAATAACTAAACGTTCCAAATATTACACGATAATGTCTGTGCCTTGCAAGGCATCTAAGTTTCCTAAGGCAGCCAACTTTAAGCATACACTAGAACAAACATATTTCACAGAAGAAAAGCCCTCCAGATCCTGTTGATATTGATGTATCGCCGGCTCCGGGGGATTTGCCAAAATGGTGATGTTATTTAGGTTGGACTGCTTTAGTGCCATTTTTGCCAACGCATGGGCAACACTGTTTCCTTGTCTGAAGCTATGCCTGAGGACCACCTTGCCCTTCCTCCTTGTTTGTTTCATCAGCCACCTGCATTCATAGATTAATTTGGTGTAAGTAGGGTGATCATTAGCTATCATATTAATAATTTCTGATGCGTCTGTCTCAATTTCCACTCGCAGTAGATTATGCTGCATTATAAGCTGTAAGCATTCTCTCAAGGCTTGGAGCTCCACTTGTGTTGCTGATAGTGTTTGAATTTTCATATGAAAACCTAGTATCCAGCTTCCTGTGTTGCTTCTAGCTACTCCACCTATACCACCTTGGCAAGCAACTTCAGTGAAAGCACCATCAATATTAAATTTATACCAACCTTTAGGAGGTTTATGCCACTGAATTTGAGTTTTTTTTTTGCACAGTGCAATTGATACCTTTTTTTGTGAGAAGGGAGTATTCAACAATATTTTTATCGATAGTGTTCCAATTAAGTCTGTTGTTTATATTATTATGGTTATTATTATTCCTGTTTTTCCAAATTAGCCAGATAACAAAAGGATAAGTATCTTCCCATTTAAGGTGAGCATGGTTAAACGAGTTCGTTGTATTTCTTATTTGGTCAATCCAGTGGTCTTTCGTTATGTTATTAAGCTTAATTCCTAGGTCTGACCAAATGTGTGCAATAGTTGAGCAATCCCAGAAGAGGTGGTGAATTGTTTCATCGTGTACTTTGTAAGTGGGACATTTAGGGTTTATGTTCATCCCTATATGCGCTAGATAGGATCTTGTAGGAATTCTATTATGATAGCATTTCCAAATGAATATTTTTATTTTATTAGGACATTGAAGATTCCAAATCCATGTGTAATCCTTATCACAGGGGTTTTGTTGTTCTATAAGCTTGTAGCACGAGGAGGTGGAGAAGAGCGCGTTGGAGCTGAGACTCCATATATTATGAAGAGAATTAGCTTTATAAGTATTATAGCTCACAATAGCATCTATATTCTTAGAAATGTTAGAAGGCAAGTCAAACGAAATTTTTGTGGGGTCCCAGTTCTTCCCGGAAATTATGTTACCTATATTCAGCTTTTCTTCATTGTAATTAAGGGGACCTTGAATTGAAGCTCTTAGGTTATTAATATTGGGGATCCAATTTGTCTCCCAAATATTAAGGTTTTTGTTGCTTATATCCCACCTAGTTCCCTTGTTACAGTAGTACCAT